TAGACCCCACAGCACTTGGTATAAAGTGAGAGAGGCCAGTAGATGAGGGGCAGACGGATTCTCATGGGTATATTACCTTGCTTATTGTGTTGTATATTTCCTTATTCTTTGATCCAGGTGTCTATTTAATGGTTGTCTGCCCTGCTGGGATGGAGCCTCTGGGAGGAAAGGTGCCAGGTTGGTTGCGGTCACCTCCCGTGTCCCTAGCACAGAGCCCCTGCTTGGCACGGCCTGAAGAGATCAGTAAACGTTTGTGGCTTTGATGAATGGATGAATGAATGGATGGCTACGTGGATAAACGCAACACTAGGGCCATCTCTGCCGTGCAGAGGGTGGGCCCTGGTGAAAGGCTGTGTACCTTTCTGTATGGTATCTTTGCTGTTCCTAACCTTCACAGAATCGGGCTATCTCCCGGGCGCCCAGCCTTGTCCGGGTGTTTCGGGTTACGCACACCACTAGGGCTCACAGTGCCAGCTGGTGGCAGATCACAGGCGTGTCCACCTGGCTACTCCTACGCACCCCTCAGACCTACCTCCCTGGAATGAAGTCCCACTGACTCTCGTATCCCAAGTTGTTTGAAATCTCTACACCTCCCGAAACCATGGGCTTCCTGTAGACAGGCAGCTCTACCCCTATTCATATGTGGGTCCCCCAAATGCCCAGCCCAGGGCATGCCTGCACCAGATGTTTTCAATCAATCAATAAAGATGATCTTCTCTACACATGGATATATGGCATGCAACTTAGAAGTCCATGAAAGTATGCTGGGCCAGGAAAATAATGATTTGAGTTTATATTTTCAAAAGCGAAAATGTAACACAGTTCGGTCAAGGGCTTCAAATTTGTGGAAGGGGTTTCCTTCCATAGATACAGTTATCAGTCACCACGATGATCGTTAGCAAGCAGGGGGACGGCACAGAGCCGGGCCTCCCCAGCAGGGCGGGCCGGGTGGAGCGGCATCCCTCCGCCGACTCGCTCCACTAGCTGACTAACAGACCTTATTCCCTGGCCGAGCGGATCACATCCTGCCAGCTCCGGCTTCCCGGCGCGGAGAGGAAGTGAGAGCGAGCGCGGTGGGATCCTGGGGGAAAAGCGGCCTGTGTCTGCTGCTGCTTTGACAGTTGAGGCTGGGAGAGGGGCTGGCAAACAATGGGAAATGAAACATTTGAGTGGTTGCAGAAAATTCCGTGGGAAATCCCCCCTGGTGGTATTTATGTGCGAGGGCTGTGACCAGGGGAGCTCGGGGCTTTCGATTTCAAGGGCTCCTGAGCAGACCATGATAGCGTCCTAAGAGGCAGTCCCCAGGACTCCCTCGCGCCACCAGAGACCGGTCAGTCTGTCTGTCCAGGGAAGACGTGGCTGTGCACGTGAAGCTGAGCTACCATGGCCTGTTGGGAGTTCACCCGCAGTTGCAAGGCTCGGGCCCCCACACATTTCTGCCCGTGAACAAATCCCTCTCAATGGTTCCCCTACGTCTTCCCTGGCCTCAGAGCCCGGGGGTGTACACGACTGAGGGAGTTTCCTCGGGCTCACACCTGCTTGCAGAAGTGTGGAGACAGCAGCCCCCTGCACGCATGCATCTCCTCCCGTTTAACTGAAACGTCCCAAATCAAGGCCTGACTGCCCTCCCACGGCACCTTTCCGCGAACACTTGGCCTCTTCCTGCTTTCCCCTCTCCTGTCAGCGATGGACACGTACGCATTTGTCTGTTGAACCCCCGCCCTCCTCTAGGGAATGAAGTGGCCTAATATTAACCAACCCTCGCTTTGCTTTCCTGGGAACTAATAAATATTCAAAATACTTTACCACTCTTGCTAATGTCTTGCTACTGCCGCCGTGAGAGAATATATGTGTTTATAGATCCACTTAAAGGTAAGGTTTATAGATTTTTAGAGACACTTAGCAGATGAGAAAACTGAAACTTAAAGGGGTGAGATAACTTGCTCTCGTGTATTAGTCATAAGGTTTCCGTTGCAGAGTGACAGGCACCTAACTTAAATGGATGTGAGTCAGAATAAAAATGTACCAGAGTATTTGGCTGAGAAGCAAGGGCTGTATTAGCTTCAGGCATGGCTGGATCTAGGCTCTCAATGAAGTCTTCAGGAATTTGCCTCTCTCCATCTCTCTGGCTCTGCTTCCCCCCCCACCACCACCACCTGCACCCTGCACTGGTTGCATTTTTTTAGATTGGCTCTCTCCACCCATTTTACATCATCCCAGAGTCCAGTCCAGGCTTTTTCCTGGTTACGTCTGTGAAATCCCAGGATTAGGTCTGATGGTCTCCGAGAGATCAGCTGCCCATTGCTAAACCAGTGACTATGGCAAGGAGGGTGGAACAATATGATTGTCCAGGCCCCGGTCACGTGCTCACTGCCCAAGCCTAGCCAAACCACAGGGACCCAGTGAGAGTGAGTGGTTCCCTAAAGAATACCGGGGTGCTCTTACCAGAAGGAGGAGGAATGGATGCTGGACGGGCAGAAAGACCTGACGTCCTGCACTCCTGAGTCCCACACCGCGACGGGGCAGGCAGGCCCGCACTCAGGTCTGCCCCTACCTTCTGCACGTGGCTGGAGACCACCTTGGGGACCCCTCCTGCTCCATCCTGCCCTGGGACTCTCGCCCCACGCCTGCCCCATGAATTCATTCTAGTCAACAGCTTTCAAAATGCGCATCCTAGGAGGGATGCTGGAGGGAGGCAGACAGCGGGGGGTGAGCAAGAAGGAAGGTGACCGAACCTCAGCGGCTGTGGCTGCAGAAAGCCCTCTGCCCCTATTTCGATCGTGCAGCAATTCTCGTATCTGTTTCTGCAGTCACTTCCTCTCCACACTTTTATTCCAAACGGACAGCTCTGCTGTCCTCTCCCCCGTTTGTAAATGAGGAACGGCAGTGCAGAGAGACGCAGCGACCGACCAAGGCCACACGTGCAGCGACACAGTGCAGGGTGAACCTGCAAAATCACGGTCTGCGTGCCCACATCCTGCCTGCCCACGTGCAGCCTTGCGGGCGGGCCGGAGACCACCGCACGCAGCCCCGCGTCACCTCCCTCCTTTCCCAGTCCAGGAGCTGCCTCCCAGAGCAGAGCAGAAAGAGGAAACATTTTTGCAGGTTTTTATTGAGTCTTGGGGTTCCCCGCCCCCCGAGCAGGCAGCTGCGGGGGACCTTCTGTAGGCAGTAGGGTCCTGCCAGAAAGGAGGAAAACCTCCAGATTCCTGCTCCTTCCTGCTTGCTGGTACCCGTGGTCATGTCGCCGCTCCAGAAGAACTGACACGGGCCAGCCCTGTCCTTCCGTTTAGGATGTTTACAAACAAGGGCTCTGCTCTGGCCTCCCGAGTCTGCAAAGCCGCACGCCAGCCCCGCCGCATCTTTCACACTCACACACCCTTCTGCAGCGCCGGCCGAGCCGTTTGTCACAGTGACTCCACCCAGCCACCCCACACGGTCGGTACCCTCCGTGCCCTCACTGGACAGGTGAGAAGACGAAGGTGCAGACGGGCGGGTCGGTTTTTCTGGGGTTCTCAGCCAGGCTCAGGCTCAGGCTCAGAAAGTTAGGAAAACAGGCTCTGGGTGATATCTCGACACCAGACACACGGTGAGCGCTTTGCACTAGAAGGATGTAGGTCAAAGGTGGCAAACACAAGGCCCGCGGGCTGAATCCGGCCCTCTACCTTGTTTTATCCGGCCTGGCACCTTGTTTCAACCCAGCAGCAGCGCCGAGCTCTCGCTTAACTGTTAAGGAGCAGTTCCATGTATACAGTCCTAACGTTGCATGTGGCCCTTTGAAGGCAACCGCGAGGCTGATGTGGCCCCCGGTGACAATGAGTCTGACACCCCCGAGTAAGGTTGTCGTCACATCGGCACACAGACAGACAGAAAGTTCTCTGCTTCCTTCAGTCCCTTCCTTCCACTGCCCAGGGGCTCCCAGCCGAGCCTGAGGACCGCCGTGTTTTCCTTTTCACCTCTCCCCTGCACTCTCTTGCCCGGAGTCCTCAGCAAGCACACACAGGGGCTTCCGGGGAGACGGCTATTATATATTACACGGCGGCAGGGCTCACGAGGCACCGGCGGACACAGGTGAGCCAGGTAAAGAAAGGCACACGGGCTCACGACTTCGACTACCTTGCAGGGGCTTATTGAATTAGCGTGATTCTTAACATCTTCGAGTTGGATCTCCTCCAGGCCAGCCAGCTGGTGCATTCAGTGCGACTCAGCTCGCCTTAACTCAATTAACTGAGCCGCGCTGAGCAGAACTCAACAAGTATCTCTTAAGCCCTGAGCTGGCTGCAGGGGGGGAAAGACAAAGAAGGGTGAGATGCAGGCTCTGCCAGACGGGGCCCTGGAGGAGACCCTTGCGCTCCTCGTAGATGACATGGCGCCTAATTTTCTGCATGCCACCTTCGCAATTGTCCCCAGACCCGCACACCCCCCTGTGCGGTGACCGACATCATATTTTTCTTTAACTTTTCTGCAGGTGAACTAATTTCCTTCGGAACATGTAAGTGTGTATCATGGAGGTGGAATTCACATACCATAAAATCCACCATTTGGATGTGGCTAATTCAACGGCATTTAGAACGTTCACACTGTTGTAGAGCCGCCACCTCTGTCTAGTTCCGAGACGCGCCCGGCCACCCCACACCCAGCACAAAGTCTCTCCCCACTCCCCGCTCCCTTTCGCCCCTCACAACCACCGCTCTGCGTCCTGCATCTGTGGATTCGCCTATTCTGGACATGTCGTGTAAATGGAATCCTAAAACACGTGGCCTTTCGTGTCTGACTTCTTTCACTTAGCATAAATATTTTTTAAGCCCCATTCACATTATGACATGTATCAGAACTTTATTCTTTTTTATGGTGCAATAAGTCCACTTTATGATTATACCATGTTCGCTCATTCATCCTTGGATGGACATTGAAGCTAGTTCTACCTGTTAGATATTGTAAATAGTGCAGCTAAATAAGTTTACCTAACTAATTAAGATGTAATGGACACATAACATTGTGAAAATACGAAGCATCTCATGGATTTGCACGTCACCCTCACTCAGGGGCCATTTCACCTTCTCTGCTTTGCTCCAGGTTTCACACACGTGCTGCCGGGACAAGCACTAAATGAATGGGTTTTAAAAGAAAAATTAGCATCGCTATTGTAACCAGGAAGCCTGTATTTTTCTGGCAGATCGTTCAATAGATACTTAACTATCGGGAGTAAAAATTTCACCTGCAGAGCACGCATCAAACCGCCCCGAACACTACCAGGTGCGGTAGCAAAGAGCCCAGCACCAGGTGTGGCTGGCCTTGCATTTGAACCCTGCCTTTGCCATCTGCGTGACTCTGGGCAAATGTCCTGGCCTTCCCCAGCCTCAGTTTCCTCATCTGCTAAGTGCTAATCGTTAAAATGGCTTCGCCCCGTAGTTGGGTGAGAACTAAAACCGGGCACCTAGTACGTGCTCGGTACGTGAAAGCGGGTGGGTGGGCACCCAAGTCAGGAACATGGTGGCAGTTAACGGCACGGGTAGCTAACAAAGCAAGGACTTGCTAGGTGCCAGGAACGGGGCGAGGGGCCGTGGGGACGCTACCTCATGTGACCCCTAAAGTGTTTTACAAGGCAAAGTATTAGCCCTGTTTTGTAGCTGAGGGAACAGGCAAAGAGAGGGGTAGCCAGTAGGTGAAGGTCACACAGCAAAGACTTGAGCTCTGGGAAAGTGACATGACCATCTGAGAAGGAACCAAGAGTCCCCTGGCGTGCCGGGACTCTCCCCAGGGAAGGGATGGTTAACGGCACAGTGGCTGCCGGCGACCCTGAGGTCCAGCTCCGGCCACTGGCTGCGCGCTAGGCCTGGAGGCTTGGTCCTTGCCGGGGTCCTCCCTGCAGAGTCTTGCTGTCAAGGGGCTTTTTTGTGGGGTCTGCCACGAGGGGCTCCCCGAGGGCCTGCTCTCGGCCTTCACAGCTTCACTGGTTGTGGGTCATGGGCTTTTCAGGCCCTCTCTGTACCCCACGGCCCCCCAGTGACCCTGAAACTGCCCCTTTGCTCTGCACTCTCTCCCTCACCATGCTGCATCTGAGCTTCCGAGACTGTCTCACAGCCTCTCACTAATTACCCACCGGCAGCGCAAAAATTAGCGAGTCTCGGGTTCACACGCATCCGTCACACCGTCACCAACAGGGAGTGCAGGGTTCACAGTTTGGGTCTGCATGGGGAATCCTGCCCCGCCCAAGGATGACGCCAGCATCAGGGTGGTCTCAGTTTCCTGGGCTGTCGTAACGAACCGGCACCACTGGGGGGCTTAAAACCGCCGGAATTTACTCTCCCACTGATCCGGAGGCCAGAATCTAGGTGTCCCAGGTCCAGGTGTCCGCAAGGCCAGCCTCCCTCCAAAGCCCCCCTGGGAGGATCCTTCCTCCCTCTTCCAGCTTCTGGGGGCCCAGGGGTTCCTGGGCTCGTGGCTGCACCGCGGCCTCCCCAGGCGCTCCTGTGCGTCCTTGACCATCTCTTAGGAGGACACTTACCTTGGATTTGAGAACACCCTAACCCAGTATGACTGTCCCGATCCTTATACTAAGTACCTCTGCCAAGACCCTATTTCCTACATCACGTGCTGAGACCCAGGGGGACACGGATATTCGAAGGACACTACACAGCCCACTACAGAGGCCTTCAAATAGAAGGGGCGCCTGGTCATCTTTGGACTGGGTTTGCCGTGCACCTGAGCCCCATGGGCACAGACACAGCGGGCGTCACGTTCCTCCAGACCCCGAAAGTAGTCAGCCAGCTCCTTACACTTCTCTCTTTCCCAGCCCTTGGCGGGGACCACAGGCAACCCTGTCACTTTCTGGCCAGTCTCTGGTCCAGCGCAGGTCAGGATAGTGTAAAAGCCCTGCCGTGTTCCCCTCCACCTTCCCCAGGCCAGCTCTGCCCTGGGGCCTGAGGAACCTGGTGTGGGCCAGGCCGCCTCCAGCCCTGCTCCGCCCTGTGCTTCTGGTTCCCAAAGTGGACCCGGCGGGACAGTGCCCCGGACACCCGCACTCGGCCGGCGCTGCCGTACAGCAAGCTGCCCGGGTGTCTTACTTTCGACGCAGCCGGGGTGTGGGCGGGTGTCCGTGAGCACGTGGCGGCCGACCCGAGTCAGCCCAAGAATCCATTTTCCCCCGGAGCGCCCCACCGCCCCCGTGTCCCCCAGAGCTCCCTCTGAGAAATGAATGCCACACGGCATAAACCACTGCAAAACAGAAAGTGGAGCCACAACTGTTGCGTGTGCACTGCCGCAGAAGATGAGTTTTTGAGTAAATACCCCAACTCTGGAATGATTTCGTGATTCATTCAGAAAATTGGCTTCTGGATCACGGTGGACAGGACTCAGCTCGGGGGGGCGAGACGGGGGCCCCTCGGCAGAGCCGCGTGGACAGTGGGACGGGCCAGATCCTCCTCGGAGAGAGGACCGGATTCACACGTGCGCAGACTCCCACAAGCCTCGCTGCGGCAGCTGAGAGGGCGCAACTCTCACGCCGAAAGGAGAGTACTTTCGAGGAAAATTTACCCTGCAGTGGAGTCTGGCGGTGTACGCAGTGCTAGCATGTGGACTCAATGACAGGAACTCAGCAGAGTAGTAGCAATAATACTAATACTAATACTAATACTAATACTAATACTACTAATAATAATAAACAATGAGATAAAAGAATAAACAGATGTAAGTGCCAGGCACGGTTTCCCCTGCCATTCATTCTCTGGGTGTGAATGGAGCCAGTTAGCAGTCTCGGCCCTGAGCACCTGCCAGCCCCGAGCATGGCTCCGGCGCCCAAAAAGCTGTTGTTTCCGTATCTTGCGGCCTCTGAAAGCCGGCCCCTGCCTTTACCGGCTGCCCCACCGGACAAGGGGAGCCCCCAATGCTGGAGGAACCCAGGCTGCACTGAGCTGGCTGGGAGAAAGCGTGGCAGCTCCAACGTGACCTGTCCGAGGGCTTTCAAAGGCAACCTCTGCCGGGAGCCTGCGTGCCCCTCAGGACTTCTGACCGCAGGGCTGCCGAGCACGTCTGCCGTGACCCCCACCCCGCCCCGGCAGTCTCAAGGCCGAACAGGGTCTGGCTGTGCCCAGAGTGTCAGACAGTTTCTAAAATGAGGACCAACCCCACGTGTGGCTTCTGTAGGGGCCGCCAAGGTGGCCGGGTCCCACGGAAGTCAGCGCCCCTCCACGTCCCACGTCCCACTCCCCTCCCACCTCTCCCCCACTGAATCCGAGGGGAGACCTTTTAAGTCTGATGCATCACCTGAAGGGGTGACCTTCCATCCTTGCTGGTGTGGCCAGGATCGGCTTACTTACCCACTCAGCTGACAGGCCTCCGGAGGTCAGAGGGAGCGGGGATTCGGAAGGTTCCCGGTGTGGGAAAGACAGAGCCAGCTCTCTCTGTCTCTCTCTCTCCAGTCTGTCCCCAGCATGAAAACTGCCCCTGCCCACAGGACGGGGTCCAAACTCAGTACCTTTGTCTCCCGGACCGGCCCACCTCCCTCATTCACCACGCACTGCCCCACACTGAGCCCAGGCCGGGGCGGGCCGGCCAGAGCTCCACGAAGACCGTGGAGCAAGGGGGAGGGAGCCCATGTGCAGTGTGGGCACCATGAGTGGAAGTCTCCGCACAGTTAACAGGGGGGGGTGCCACGGGATTTAAATCTCTGCCACACTTCTCAAGAAACACTCCCCCCACCCAAAAAAAATCCTATTTACCATGGAGAAACAGAAACAGACTCACAGATACAGAGAGTTGCTGGTGGCCGGAGGGGCAGGTGAGAAAGGCGAAGGGATGGAGAGGTGCGATGGGTGGTTGTGGAACAGTCCCCAGGGTGCAAAGTCCAGCCCAGGGAACGTAGTTGGTGACCCCGTGATACCTGCGGGTGGGCCCGAGCGGGGGCTGGAAACAGGGGGTGGGGAACACTTTGTAAAGTGCACGAGTGTCTAACCACTACGCTGTGCACCTGAAACCAATACAAAACAATACTGAATGCAAACTGTGATTGAGAAATAAAAAAATAGCCCTGGCTGGTGTAGCTCAGTGGATTGAGTGTGGGCTGCAAACCAAAGCATCTCGGGTTCGATTCCCAGTCAGGGCACATGCCTGGGTTGCAGGCCATGACCCCCAGCAACCGCACATTGATATTTCTCTCTCTCTCTTTCTCCCTCCCTCTTTCTCCCTCCCTTCCTTCTCTAAAAAATAAATAAAATCTTTAAAAAATAAAAAATATACATATATATATATATAATAAGATACAATGAAAAGCAAATCCTTTAAACTTTCCTCTCAGCTCCATGGCAGCTGGAGCCCCTGACCTGATCTCTCAAATTCCCCCAAACCCTCCATCAGATTTAACTTTGCTCACTACCACCCCAACACACACACACACCATCTCCCCTTCCCAATGCAGCTTCCCCTCCTTCCTGCAGGTGCAGGGCAGCTGGCTGAGAGCATGAGCTCCGGAGCTCAGCCCGCCCGGGGCACCCTGAGCTCGGCCACTCTACGTGGAGCGGGAACCTGGCAGGTGTAAGTGCTCAGTGAACCAGCCTTATGTAAATCCCGTTGGCTCCTCCGATGCTGGTGCCCTTACGTGGCCCCCTTTTGCACGAATGCAGGAAGAAATGTACATGGGTTTCCCGGGATTGCCGAAACGCATGGCCGCAGACTTGGGGGCTTCAAACGACAGGAATTCATCCTCCCACGGATCTGGGGGCCAGAGGGCCGTGATGGAGGGGCCGGGAGGGCTGTGCCTCCTGCAGCGGCTCTCAGGGGGGCTGCTCCTCGCCTCTTCCAGCTCCCGGTGGCCGTGAGCACTCCTGGGCTGGCAGCTGCACCACCCCAGTCCCTGCCTCTGTCTTCACACGGCCTCCCCCGTGTGCCTCACAGGAACATTTATTACTGGATTAGGGCCCACCCACATAATCGAGGCCAGTCCCGTTTCAAGAAACTTAATTACATCTGCAAAAACCTTTTTTTTTTTTCCTAAATAAGGTCACATTCACAGGTTCTGGAGAGGGGTCAGAATGTGGACATACTTTTTTGGGGAGGGGGGCACCATTCCATCCACTACAGAATGATACCGTGTCCTTCCTTTCATGAGT